TTCTCGGTAGAGCAGGACTGGGACAACAGTCTGCCACTGAAGATACTCCTCTGCCTGGTGAGTGTGCTGTGCAGAGGGTGGCTGACATCGTCCATGATGGAAAGCAGTTTGTTCAGAGTGGTTCTCTCTGCCACTGACATGAGGCGATCCAGCTCCATGCCAAGCACACGGCCAGCACTCCTCACCAGCCGGCCCAGTCACGTAGCGTCTCTCTCCTTAATGCTGACTCCCCAGCAAACCACGGCCTAGAAGAGAACACTGGCAACAGCAGACTGGTAGATCAGGAAGAGCTTCCTACAGATGCTGAAGGATTCCAGCCTCCTCAGGAAATAGAGCCAGTCCTGCCCCTTCCAATCCTCAGACTCTTAAAGACCCAGGGTGACCCTTAGCTGGAGAATGACTCCAACTGCGCTTGACATTCGCATCATTTGGTCAGCTGACAGTTCGATTTCAGCGAGCCCACCTGCCACCACCTCCACTCTGGGGACGGACAGGTTATTTTAAGTCGACTTACCAAACTGTTCCAATCTAATACAAAAAATCATATATTTACATTTTACTTATTCATCAGATGTTTTTATCCAAAAAATTGAGATAGCAGGGTCATCCAGTCCCTGGAGCAACTGGAGGTTAAGAGCCTTGCACAGGGGGCTTAAGATAAAACCCACACCTCTGACTCTGAGCCAGTGACCTTTGCAGCACTGGCCCAGCATCCTAACCCACTGAACCACATTGTCCGTAAAGTGTTTCGCTAGGATAAAGCAGCGGGATATCAGCTTAGAGCCCAGAAGTAAAGACTAATGATGATAATTTAGTATTTTTTCCCTAAGTCTGGAAAATGTAACACATTCTAAAATGAAACAAATGGCGGCAGTGAAACCGAAGTGTGTTTGCATTTTTTTGGCCGTATCAAACCTTTGACTTTATTTGTGCAATGAATTTGTGCATTTTTTTTTGTTTAGGCCTTGCATTTGGTTTAAAACCCACATGTGTCACTTTGGTGTTCTATCCATCCATTCATATATGCATGCATCCATATCCAGCACAAGGTCACAGTGTGCCTGGTGCCCATCCCAGGGGACACAGGGCTAAAGGCAGGGTCACAAGCTGGATGGCATGATTAGAAGTGTGTAGTATTTAAGTAACCTGAGAGATATTTCTCCTTATGCTTGTTTTGTCCAAAAGACACACATTTCAGAGTGAGTGTTCATTTTACAGAACAAAATCAATTAAGTTGAAATGTTTTCATATGCAAATAATGTCATTCAAATAACAGCAACTTTATGTCTAGGAATTAAGTACTGATTGAGAAACTTGAGACAGTAACCTAGAGTACTCTAAAACATTTGTAGATAGTTATTCTGGTAACACTTTACTTGGATAGTCCGCCTACAGAGTATTTGTAGCATTTCAGCAACTTACAGTAGTTGAGATTCAACAATTCAGCTATTTCACTGTGTCTCTAGATATTTAACAGTATATACAGTGTATGGAGTATGTGTTACAATTCATGAACATGCCTATATATTCTTGAAATAATTTAGTTACATTTGAGTACTCACTCAACCGATGTTATATTAATTGTTGAATCTCAACCAATACGTTTTTGAAATGTACTCCTCTTCCTTCGAATTTGAACTAAAGACATTTCTGATTACTGTTTTTTCCCTCTCCCCCTGTGAAGCGACCTTGGGATTGTGAAAGGCCCTGTATAAATGTAACCTATTATATTTATTATTGTATACCCTCTGTAGGCGGACTATCTAAATAAAGAGTTACTGTTATCTTGGACATTTGTGTTATATTTAAAGTATTTATACATAAGATCCTATATTAGTAATGGTCCCAAATTGCTAAAATGCTTAAAACTTCATTTTAAGTTTATGCTTATTTTTGTTTCAGTCATACATAAATACTACATAAAAAGAAACAATTTTAAATTCTAACCATAAAAATAAACATCTGTATATTGATAGAGGAAGCTTTTTCTGCCATTCAGATTTATTTCGGAATATCCTGGGAAGAATGAAAACCTGTGTGTGACAACTCAGCTGTCATCTGAGGAAGCGCACATGCGCTCACACACACACACACACACACACACATACACATATACACACACACACACACACCCTCTGGTGCCTCCACGATGTCACACACACACATGTAGGGTAAACATATCCTTATGGGGACCGCTCATTCATTTCAATGGGAAAAATGCTAACGCTAACTATGACCATTAGTGACCTAACAAAATACAAGAGTTTTTGCATTTTTAGTTTTTTCATAGCAGTCACCGATTTTTATAAAATAGAGTTTTCCCTTATGGGGACCAGGAAACCGGTCCCCATAAGGGAAAAAAAACCGACATTTATCACGTTATGGGGACATTGTGTCCCCATAAGGATAGGTAAACCCGCTCACACACACACACACACACACACACAGCCTCTGGTGCCTCCCCAATGTCTCTCTCTCTCTCACACACACACACACACACATAGAGAAACACACAGGTTTGTAATTTTATCTTTGTGGGGACTCTCCATTCATCTATATGGGGAGAACTCTAATCCCCATAACCGCTACCCAGCCCTGACCTTATCCATAAGTAACCAAAGAAAATGCAAGACTTCTGGCATCTTTTGTTTTTCCTTGGTTTAGTGGTTAGCACTGGCACCTCACTGTGACCTGGGTTCAAGTTCCTGCCAAGGTTTCCATGATTGTCCCCATGTCGTCGAGGGGCTTTCTCTGGATACTCCCGTTCCATCCCCCCCAAGTCCAAAAACATGCTGAAGTTAATTCATTGAAGGTACCAAATTGCTGATATGTGCTCTGTGATTGGCTGGGCGTCAACCTAGGTTGATTCCTGCCTTGTGCCTGTAGCTTCTGATCGGCTCTAGGCCCCACAAGCCTGAATAAGACAAGCGGTTTCTGAAAAGACAAGCAGTTTCACCTTGCGGGGACTTAAAAGGTGGTCCCCACAATGTCAAAATAAAAGGCTTTTATCACACTGGAGGGACATTTGGTCCCCACAGTGTAACATATACATGACCCACACACACAATGTGCTGCATGCATTTATGTTGACATTAGTGGAGTTGTGGAACTGTGGCCTCCAAGAAAAAAAAAGGACAGGGTGGGTTTTGGTGTTTGTTGGGCTCCTTTAAACATGTTTTAAGCCGCCTTCAAACTATTTGTACAATAATGCATCTCTCCATTTCAGGTGGATCTTACATCTTAGTGTGTCTTCTCTCAGGGCAGTAATCAAATATTCATTAATGTTTATTTAGTAGATGCTTATATTCAAGACAACATACAATTGAGAAAACAGAGCCAGCCAGTCTGCAGAGTAATCAGCATTAAGGGTCTTGCTAAAGAGCCCATGTCAGATGTGGGATGGGAACCAGCAACCTTCTGCTCATACATACAGCATGCTAACCCACTGAGCCACACACTCAATTAACCCCTAGCTTGCTTACGATGTCAAGCCTTATGTTTTAACATTGAAACAGTGTCCCCCAGTTGCTTCTTGTAGTCTGTGTCTTGTAATATGTCAGGTTGTTCCCTCCATCTGTTTGAGCAGCGCCTCCTAGGGCACAGCCAGGTAGGTGCAGGTTGCTTTGGGCTGCCATTACAAGCACCTCTTGCTCTGTTTGAGGCTAATATTAAATGATAAACGACTGAATATTAAATATTTTCCTATGGGTAAAATCGTTAGATCTGATCACTTGGGGCTATAGCCCGAATATTGCAAGCCAACTCCCGAGTATTTTATCCCCGATGCCAGTCTTCCTTCAGCAAAAAAAAACAAGAGTCAAGCCCCAGGAAAACTAGACTTGGCCCCTAATCTTTTCAATAGCTAGAAGCTCCCCTGGGTGAAACAATGGTGTCCTTTCTGGCACCTGCGACTTCAGTTTCACCTCGACTTTACAGTCAATCATTTTAGGTCCTTGTGGGTTAGGGAGGGCTGTCTGTGATTGGAAAGTCCCAGGTTTGGCAGAATGATGTCACCGTTGGGCCATTGAGCAGAGCCCTCACCTCCTAAATCCTCCAGGGCATACTGACCCTTCCTTCTCAATAATGTGTCACTTTGGATGAAAGCATATGTTAAATTAATAAAATGTATAATAATGAATTTTTGCTGGTAACAGCCAGTGTGTCTTTTACAGAATGTCTGTAACTGTCCACTGTCTCTTATCAGCCGCCAGAATGTTCAGTAACTCACGCGATGACCTGTAAGTAGTTTAAGAGGAGCTAGGTGATCTTTCTTCTTTTTTATTTTGTTGTGTTATCTTGTTATGTCACCAAGAAATATACCAAGAAAAGGTCAAGGGAAGAAGTGACAACTTTGCTAACGAATCCGGTCACGGCTTCTATTTTGGAAATCGGTAAAGGTCAAATTACGAACTCTGATACATGGTAAAACATGAACAGATTGATATGTTTGAAAATTTAAAGTGTTACAATGGCTAGGTTTTAGCACATGTTACCATCATAGATTTGAGCTTAAGATACATACAGTCATTTCAGTTCACATTCGACTATAATTATCATTTAAGACTTCTTTGAAACAGTTGCACTTTTATATCCCTATCTATTCATCCATCCATTCATCTTTGTCAGGGTTGGGAGGGGGAGAGCACAGCCTTTCACTGGCAGTACAGAGCACAACGCTGGGGTAGACCCTGGATGGGATTTCACTTTTACCTAACAAAGTGATACTATCTGATACTGATTTTGTTCAAAATCCATCAAGAAAACAGATGCACTGGTTTTCGTCTTATGTGAATCATGAAATTCCTTTTCAGCTTTATAATAATATAAGAGTAACGGTAAACAAAGGAGGTGCTCCTATGTGAGAAGAAACACTTGCTTAGGTGTTCCACAAGACCAAACATCTCATTATGTCGGCACCAGACCCATTGACGAGCAGATCCGGTAAGATTTTGCACGGTGACCAGAAGGTTAACAGTGTCACTCTGTCCCCACTCTCCCAGCTGTAAGCAAACACGAGCACAGGAGAATCAGGATGAAAAGATGGCAGCCATGCTGTTACCACCGGGTCCTGACAGCTTGCGCCGGTTCACTCGCGAGTCCCTGGCCGACATCGAGCGGCGGATTGCCAAGGCGGAGGCCGGGGAACCCAAGGGGTCCCAGGAGGATCTTGGAGACAAGGAACCATGCAAGCCCAGGGCCGACTTTGAGGCCGGGACGCAACTGCCGCGGATCTTCGGCGACATTCCTTCCGGGCTCGTCGGCGTACCTCTGGAGGACATTGACCCGTTTTACTACAAGAACCAGAGGGTGAGCAGATCAAACCATCTGGGGCTTATGTGGAGGGGCACCGTTAAAAGGCGGTAAAGTTAGGATGATGACAGGGGCCCTCAAAAATTTGGAACATAATTGGATTGGTTTGGGTTGGTGGCCCAATATGATAAGTATTCAGGCAGAGTGTGTGTGTGTGTGTGTGTGTATGTGTGTGTGTGCGTCTGTGTGCGAGCCCACGCTTCCTGGTGGCTGATGAATTTTTTTAGATGTTTTTGGTGATCAGGAGACATTTTAAGATTAGGGTTAAACTGAAAGCAGTAGTTTTTTTTTATTCATATCTATATATTTATCTATATTTATAGATGCAGATGTATGTGTGTGTGTGTGTGTGTGTGTGTGTGTGTGCGCACGCGTGGATGGGTATATATTTTTTCTTTAAACTCAACTGGGGAAATAACAAGCAATGTCCGAAAAGCTTTTTTTGGCAGAGATGATTCACTGGATGATTACAGTGCCATCTTATTTCAGCAGTGTGGATATAAACAGAGCAGAAGACAGAAAAGCTGATGTGCTGATAAAAGCCACATAAAAATACAAATTCAATAGGATTAAATATGAGAGAGTTAATCAGGTGCTAATTTGATTTAGTAACATGTTGAACCTCCATATGAAAAGGAACTGAAATTGTATACTCAGGAAGTTTTTGTAAGGAATGCTTATTTATTTTTACTATGGAATTTCTTTTTTTGAACGGTTGATAGAAGATCAAAATTCAGTTTCCGGTACTTCTTGAAATATCAATGAGCGTGTAACATATTTAGTTTTTATTTGAAAATGTTGCAGAACTGACACCTATGTGCTGTTTCAAGCCAGTTGTAGAATCTAGCTCGGTCATAATAGAACTGTCCATTGACAGAGAATGTGCAGAGTATACTAGTGAAAAAGACTTCTGAAAACAAGTATACCTGCAGAACTCAGTGGTCTGTCATGACCAGGAGTATTTATTGTTTTACACACAACCACTGGTGTATCGCACGTCATGTGTCCTTTGGATTCCAGCAAAATATCTTGAAAACTACTGTCATGCAAACACGCACACACACATATAGACACTATATACTATATACACAAATATAGTTAGTAGTAAATATAGATAGTAACATGACTGTTACAAATGAAAGTGCAAAAGTACAACTGGTGTGGATAAAAAAACAAGAGACACTTCATAATCTGCTCTTTTGGATGACATCACCTCACTCGCATGGTATGCCAATGCCTTTCTGGGATTTGAATCTACAACCTTCAGGTCATAACCACACTGCAACCTTCAAGTCATAACCACAATGGTGATAACCACAATGCAACCTTCAGGTCATAACCACAATGGTCATAACCACAATGCAACCTTCAGGTCATAACCACAATGCAACCTTCAGGTCATAACCACAATGGTCATAACCACAATGCAACCTTCAGATCATAACCACAGTGGTCATAACTAGACATGCACTGATCCTGGCGCTGATCCATACCTATTTTACGGATCGGGTATCAGCCATACGTGACTGACCTACGTCCAATACTTACTTGGTTTTTGGCAGTATCTAAAAAGACAGCTCCTATTTCGTATTAAATCTATTTGAACAATCAATCACACTACAGCTCTTTCCCATTTTAGATGTGTCTTTTGCAGCATTCAAGCTGAACGCTAACGCTGCCATGTTAACGTTATGTATGTTAGAAATTGAAAAATAGCTCTTGTATCGGAATCTATGTCTGTAGTTGTGTATCAGATCAGAACTGAAAAAACGTGGACCGACCCGTCCCTAGTCATAGCCACAATACTCCAGTACCATATGTATATGAACATACATCATTATCCATGTCGATAAATGCAGGCTGACAGATTGTCCCTGCAGCCGGAAGGTAAAGAAACCCCCCTTTCCCCCAAGAGCTTCATGTTCTGTCCACACTGTCCACTGTGGACGGGGTTGCTTTGTTAGCTACACGGCCGTCAAGACGGCATCTGGAAAAAAATGGATTTTGCCGAGGAACACGGGATTAATGCATCTTCGACCGATTCACACCTAGGGCTTAAGAGGTTTCCTAGTTCATACAGGACCACCAAAAGAACTGCCAACCCCCCCCCCCCCTCTTTTTTTGCCTGAAGGAGTTCAGCTCCATTTTCTAGCCTCTCCTAAAAATGTGCCCCGATTCTCCTTTTTTCTTAGAATTTCCAGGATGTTCCTGGAGGGAGTGTAAAAAAAAATGTTGGGGCCCAATGCTGCTGCTCTGCACTGCCATGGATCGCAGTGCCATGGATTGCAGTGGCGCATCCTGATAATTACATAACAATTACATGATTTCAGTCTAATTGCCCCTGATTTAATCCCCTTTTTTAAGAGCACAAGTTGCTCTCTTTAATGTCCTTTGAAGGTGATTCATAGTGTGAAAGACTCCGCCTACCACCAGCCGGGGGTACAGAGATTTCCCTCACTTCAAGGAGGCTGCTCTACTTACAGTTGTGGATGACAGATCAGAAACTAGTTTCGTTTTAACAGTGTAGTCTTTAATGTGGCAGTATACATGTCCCAGAGCAGCAGATGCTCAGGTCCCACGAGGACCCAGCTGTTGCACCTTTGAGTTTCTTCGATGTGATCAGAGCACAAGACACTCAGGTAGGTGGACGTCTGAAACGAAGGCTGGTCTATTTGCTGAAGGTCCACTTGTTAGAACAATGGCTTCATTCTCACAGTGCAGCAGATTTTCTTGTATTTTTACTTTGTAGATCTTTTTGCATTTTTTTGTGTCATGAAGACACCCTCGGAGGATATCTACATGACTAGGTTTCCATGTATTAAGATGATCGGTCTACAGCACAGTCACAAACTTATGACTTTTCATTAAGTGACTTTTGCATTCTCATACATGTGTATGTTCTAAGATGTGATATGCATATTATTTTAATGTACATTCATTCATAATCACCTATTCATTTATTATCCGGTGACAGCTTATATTGTGTCGGGTCAAGGTGATGTCACGTAGGATGTACAGCAAAGCCATCACAGGACACTTGCTTTACACACCCATAAAGAGAATTTCAGAGCCAGCGGTCAGAGGAAACCTGGAGGACATTCATGCATATGCAATGAGAACAGAGTTCTTGAATGCAGTCATGAAGCCGTAAAAATGGGGATTCTCATTAAAGTGTGTCAGGACAATGGAGTGCTGTATGATTGTGATTAGCAATAGCAGCATGCTAGCCTTCCGTCCAGAAGCCCAATGGAAAATGTGCTTCTGTTATGATGTGACACACCTTCCCAACCACTTTCCACTTAGTGTGTAAGAAATTTAGGCTGATGTATTGTGGTCTTGTGAATTAATTCTACTTTGCATTAATTTCCCACCTAAAATAGTATATTTCAAGAGTAAAATATTCTATTAGTCATTCAACACAGATTTCATAAAATGCAAAGTATAAAAACACATTTAGATGAAAACATATCAGGAAAGAGTATCAGACCTTATTCATATTTTCCAGTGTCATCGGCATGTCTTTTCATTACGTCTGCGATAAACAGACAAATGACATATGTTAGGCCTACCTGCCGCAAATAAAACCATCCTGTCATGAACAACTCCAAATGATCCTTATGCCAGAGGTGGCCAATCTTAACCGCAAAGGGCCGGTGTGTATGCAGGTTTTCGTTGCAACTCCCTAAGTAGGTCACTAATTAGAGGACTGATTGGCTGAAGAGTCCTCACACCTGGGTTTGAACAGCTGACCTAAAGGTTATCCGAAAACCTGCATACGCACCGGACTTTGCGGATAAGATTGACCACCCCTGCCTTATGCAAAGTTATCATTGGTGCAATTAATAATTTTACTATATACTTACAGTCTTCTGACATGTATTGGTTGGTTCTGACGACACTGCTCTTGTGTTATTTAAGATCTAAAATATAGGCCTACATCATTTTTTTCAGTCACTTTTTTTATACAAGCTTACTGCATCGGAAACTTTGCGGTAATTTCCCCAGTTTAAGTGGTTTTCAAGAAGCATTTAATGTTTAAAATGTCAAAGCTTATAAGCTAGTCATTTATAATTGTGGTTTGACTTGTTACTGTTGATCATTTTAACCAAATCCTCTGTTTTGTTTCCTTTCCACTTTCCAGACTTTTATAGTACTGAACAAAGGGAAGGCGATCTTCCGATTTAATGCTACATCTGCACTGTACATTCTTAGCCCCTTTAATCCTATCAGAAGAGCATCGATACAGGTTTTAGTACACTCATATCCTTTGCGGTCACTGTGATCCAGTGTGTGTGTTTGATGACGAAGTGCCGCGATCCGGACGTTTTGCGCAATCCGTAATGCAACGTCTGCTGTTTCTAAATTAGGACTGCAATTTTTGCCAAGGGAAGTCAGAAATTACATCTGTCACTGTCTCTCTCTAAATCTTTTTTATTTCTTTAGTTCATCCTAAAGTGGGAAACGTATACAAACACAGAGGAGGCACGTGTTAATGATGCTGAATCAATCTGTGCTTTATGTGCAATCTTTGCCACTTTCAACATGAAAACACTCATAAAAATACAAAAGGCTGTCCCTTTGAACCTAATAGCTTGCATAAGATTGTTAAACATGTATCCACTAAACGGTGTGTGGTTTAGGGTGCGTGGTGACACAATGTGCAGGGAGCATAATGAAGATTTCCCGCCAATTCATGTGCATAGTATGGAGCCCGTCTGGGTTCAGCTGTGACAAATTCGTAATCCGTACCCGTAGTTTAGCAACGGTTTTGCAATCCGTTTCACATTTGTTGTGCTAATTGTTTTTCCTTGTACTAGTGAAGTTTTTATAGGGTTAGCATTAGTGTTATAACTTACAGTAAGCGTAAAGTCCTGGAATGTTAATACTGTGACTTTGGTGGGAGTTACAAACACGTGTACATGAAATGTACATGGCTCTGATTTTTAGTTCTGAAAATCTGGTCACCTGCCAGATAGAGTAATTGGAAACCAAAAATTGTCTTCACCCTATTTGATGCTTAATAACTGGACAATCAATCGGGCAGTAAACGGAAGTCTCCAGAGACACTTTGACACAAAGTTCGTCTAACAAGAAACCCTGGGAAGCTAACGTTAACTGGGTGGGAACGGATTACGAAATTTATTTCTCACCTGAATCCAGGCGGCCTCCATATGCTTGCACTTTGAAATAATTCTGTATGCATTTTAATCAATAACAGAGTTGTTGAATTTAAATTATGGTTTAATTCTGCAAATGGGAAAAGGCAGCATGTTTTTTTCCATTAAAAAAATTATAATGTACATAATATAATCATAATCTTAAATGCACATATATTCGGTTTTTAAAAACTTTATGGCAGCTCTCTCCCTTGAACCCCTGCCAAGGCCACACCCCCTCTCCAGCCAAGGCCATGCCCCTTATGCTGCCAAGGCCACGCCCCCCTCTCCTACCAGCCGTCACATCCCCTTCCTTCATGGACCCGGGATCTATAAATAAGTGTGGAGAAACATGGGACCCAGGACACTTTGTCCGTGACAGTCTGAGATAAGGGGGGGCATGGAGGTCGATTCCAGAGGTGTCAGCCCGAGTGCGATTGTGTCATAACCGCGGGCGGCCAGAAAGTCACAGGGAGGCTCCTGCTGACGGCCACTCTGGCCCCTCTCCTCGCCTGCTGACGGCCAATCCAAAGCCAGCATGTAAGATGCCCCCGGCTACCTATGAACCCTCCTCACAACCACCCCCTCCCATGTCCTGATATTCGTCTCCTAATGTCAGCAACAGCGGTGGGGCTACATCTGCACCTAGAAGCTGATTGGCTGCAGGAGTGCCCCCTCCCCTCTCACTGACTGATTCAAAGCATTTCATTGGCTAGTGCTAAGGTTAGCCCCTTTGTATGAATTATGTCTCCTCGTGTGTCGTCCCCCCCCCCCCCATATATACAACTTAAATAAATCCTAAAATCACCCCCGGTCAGCAATGAAATAAGAGCACAGACATTTGGAATCATGTGACTTGCTCAAGATGTGCAGTGTGGTCCCAGTGCCCAGCCCCCTCTGTGACACCCCCCCTCCCAAAAAAAAAAGAATAAAAATTACTCATTCAGCAGGTGACCTTAGAAGAAATTACTTAAACGGTCATCTTGGCAAGATGTTAAAGAGGGTGAGCGGTGACAGCCATATTCCAACAACAGTGGGGTCACAATACTGAGGCTTTGCTGCTGTGAACCTGAAGCTAATTCTTATATGTGAAAGAGCAGCTTTCATAGGTGTCGGAATATACAATGTGTCTGGCACGCCTTGAGCTGTAATACTGAGCGACACCAAAATCACATAGAGCTCTTTCTGATCCCTGTGTCACCTGCATTCAGCGTATGCTCCCATAAAATAATTAAGTACTATGAAACCCGAATACACATGTGATTATTCTAAATATTTTGTGGATTTGTTTTAAAAAAAACATTTTATAGTTAGTTGTTCTGCTATTCCAGTTGATATGACATGATATGACCATTAAACATGGTCTGGCTCTGCTATGAAATTCTGACGCTATATATAGTAGTATCTCAATCATTACAGGGGAAACTTGGGTGTATCTCAATCATTATAGGGGAAATCTGGACGTATCTTGATCATTATAGAAGAGACCTGTACGTATCTCAATCATTGTAGGGCAAAGGTCAAATATACTGTATAACATAAGATACAATATCACACACCTTTGACGTTTTTAGTGGCAGCGCAAGTGGATTGTTCTGGTGCTGGCTGCATTCCGCACACATGGTAAAATATGTGCGCTACCGTTCAGTACGACTGCTTTTTATGTCTCTTGATAATTTTTTTAAGACTGTTATATGACGTAAGTATGATTAGATGTTACTCGATAGGACGTAAGTCGATGGATGTAGGATGTACTACATAGTAAATATATATAAATATAATGTACTATATATAATACACTATGTATAGTATGTATGCAGTATATATATACATGTATAATTTTGTATATATATTTATTTATATTATATATTTATCTACCCATCATCTATTTATCCTGTTTATATAAAACATAAATAGCATATTTATATAACACATATATACGTGTTGTCTGGCCTTGACATGACCAGGATATCACGCTGCCTGCTCTTTTGCCCGAAGCATCCATTTCCTTAACTTTCTTCCCCCACTTTATTCAGTTTGTTTATCATGTGCACTATTTTGACCAACTGTTGCTTCATGGCCATGTCGGAACCCGCACAATGGGCCAAATATGTCGAGTAAGTATCCCGCACCCCACTTCACCCCATTACAAATGAATTAAAAATGACTGATGAAGTTACAGTACTATGAAGGGTGTATCGGAATAGGTGTGTTCTCTTTACTTTGGTTTGAGTAAAATTGCCCGTCTTTAACCCACCCCAGCAGACAGATTCTTTTCGAGATGATTCCGACATTCCGGAGGAATCGTCGCAGCCAGCTGTTCCCTGAGAAGTTTGCCGGTTCAGTGCGGGCAGAGAGTGTTCAGTGCGGGCAGAGAGTGTTCAGTGCAGGCAGAGTGTTCAGTGTGGGCAGAGAGTGTTCAGTGCGGGCAGAGAGTGTTCAGTGCAGGCAGAGTGTTCAGTGTGGGCAGAGAGTGTTCAGTGCGGGCAGAGAGTGTTCAGTGCAGGCAGAGTGTTCAGTGTGGGCAGAGAGTGTTCAGTGCAGGCAGAGTGTTCATTGTGTGCAGAGAGTGTTCAGTGCGGGCAGAGTGTTCAGTGCTGCCTCGTGCTCCATTCCAATTTACATCGACTTGGCACCATTTCGGTTTTAGCCGACTTGCTGGGCTGATGCCCATTGTTGTCGTGATGGCTGCCAACTCATGCTGGAGTGAAACGGCGAGCTCGCTCCCCCATCGAACACACTTTACCTCTGTTCTGATGTTCCTGTTGTTCTCCTGTTCCTCTGAGTGCAGAGGGCGGGCCCTCCTCTCTCAATACCGTGCCATTGGCTACTGATGCTGTCAATCTCTCTCACCCTCCCCCCACTCCATTTGATCAGGTACACTTTCACTGGCATTTACACTTTCGAATCGCTGATCAAAATTCTGGCCAGAGGATTCTGCATTGGACCGTTCACCTTCCTCCGGGATCCCTGGAACTGGCTGGATTTCAGTGTAATAGTCATGGCGTAAGTATTCCAGTCTAACCTTTCTGTCAGCCCCAGCCCCTGGGACACCTAACCCCCCTCAGCACAGTTACCTCTGAGCACAAAAAGTGCAGGCTCTCCTTACATTAGAATACCACGGCCCCCCAAGCTATATAAAGTGATTATGCTACTTTACATTTGTGATTTTTAATGACAAATAGCGAATTTCCAAAACTAACTCAGTTAATTTCTTATTGTTTTTGAGATGAGACCGGCAGTGACTTAAAGTCAGGCGTCCTGTGAACCAAAATTCACTCAGTCCTCATGTAATCCAACAAGGAACTATAATTAAAGTTCCAAAGCTAACTCAGTCCACAAAAATACTTACTTACAAACATTTCCCGTGAATTGAGTGATTTTTTTTAAATTCACATCTCTGTTTCCTGCTTTTTTTCTTGCTTTATGAAAGGAAACTATAAAGCGAGACATAAAACTTTTAATCATTTAGGTGTTAATGCTTTTAATTGATTTATTCTTGGGAATACTAGGACTCAGAATTGGGGTTGACACTAGTGACCTTACAGTCGCTAACCCCAGCATTAAGTCCAATAGAATGCATGGCATTGCATTATTAGGCTTCCACAGGCTGCCTATGAATACAATGTTCCCTGTACATTTGTCAAAAGTCTCTGAAAGGAGGTTCAAGATGTTGATATCTCTTAAAGTAAATGACATTTAAAGTGCATCAGCAGAAACAAAACAGTACAATCAGCGAAAGGCACGTATTAGTTAGTCACGTATTAGTTAGTCACGTATTATTTTACAAAGAAGGACAGTTTTCCGCCTGTGTTTTTTCTTTAAATGCTTTAAGCATTGCACGCTCTGTTTTCCTGAATTTTTTAATGCAGCCTGTCTTGCATGTCGTCTTTCCTGGGGGCTGTTGTTATTTTCAAGATATTTTACAAATACCGTGATACCTGAAGAAAAGAATCCATTTCCTAATGTCAGCAGAAGAGCATGACTAGAGAGTTAAGCAGGTGTCTTCCAGACTGACCTGGAATTATTTTTAATGCCTCCAAAAATTGAAAGAAATGGTAAGAAAATGTTATGTTTATGTGCAGGGCAGCAGGGGGCGTAACGGTTAAAGGTATGGAGTCAAAGCAGGGCTCTTATCAAACTGTAGAGTATCCTGGTGTTCTGCTTGACCAAAGAAAATGTGAAAAATGTAAATATTTGCATGTAATGTAAATGCAAGCTTTGCATTCCAGGATTCACATCAATGACTCATTAAATTAGTGTTAGCAAATAGAACCACTGGTATTGGTGTCCAGTGAGTCACAGTAACGTCTCACCTGTGTAGGATTATAGGCGAGACCTGACTGTCTAGAATTGGGACTCACGGAGCGAATCTGTGAAAGATTTATGAAAGGAACAATGGGACTGAGGATTTAGGAATGGCTGGATTCGTCATGCATTGTTTTTTAGTGTCTTATAATGTGATTATATATAATAATTGTTTTATAATTAGGCCCCTGGAATGTAGTGACGCAGTTAACAGGTTTCATGGTGTAGGACAGGGGTCCCCAACTCCAGTCCTGGGGGGCCGGAGCCCTGCACATTTTGGGTTTCCCCTCATTTAACACACCTGATTCAACTCCTTGTGCTAATTACCACACAGCTCTTGAGCTGAATCATTTGTGGTGGAACAGGGAAAGAACTAAGCTACACAGGGCTCCGGCCCCCCAGGACTGGATTTGGGCACCCCTGGTGTAGGAGAAGAAAGGTTGCATTTGGTCCATCCGTACTTTGCCACATTGCGTCTCTGACCTTGCCTTTCTGCAGATACGTAACAGAGTTTGTGGACCTGGGCAACGTCTCGGCCTTGAGGACGTTCAGGGTATTGCGAGCCCTGAAAACTATCTCTGTCATTCCAGGTGAGGTGGCCATTTCATAGCGCGGCCAACAAGCAAAAAAATGAACATTCCTGGTACAAATAGAACAGTGTGCTCTCCCCGGCAGGTCTGAAGACGATCGTTGGGGCCCTGATCCAGTCAGTAAAAAAGCTGGCCGACGTGATGATCCTCACTGTCTTCTGCCTGAGCGTCTTCGCGCTCATCGGCCTGCAGCTCTTCATGGGCAACCTGAAGCAGAAGTGCATCCGTAACCCCGAGCCCTGCTATAACAGCACGCTTGTCGGCAACAGCAGCTTCGTCTGCGACAACAGGACTTGGCCCTCCCTCAAGGACTTCTTCAACGACGAGGGTGCGTGTGCAGGGTCTGGGCAATGCAGTTGTCCTGGTGTATGTGGGTTCCACACAGATCAGCCTGACATTGCGTCATTTACTCACTAATTCAGTATGGCGATGATAAAAAGGGGTTGATGATAAAATTTGCTTTGGTGTTAAAGAAGCGGGGGGTCAGACAATCTCTGGAGCATTTGGGGTCAAGGGTCTTACTCAAAAGCACTTTGGTGATGTCACTTCGCCAACCCTGGGATTTGAACCAGTGACCTTTCGTTTATTGGTATATTGTTCTAACCTGCTGACCCAAACGCTGCATGTGACCATAGTGCCCTGTGGATTGAAATGATGTCATTTTATAATGTGCGTTTTCTTTTTCTTTTTTTCTTTCTAACCTGTCATACTCATCCTCACACCTCATGCACCCTTTGATTTTCCCTGCATCCAAAAAAGATTTTATTTTGTGAAGGACTTAAGAAAACAACGTGACCTTTGTAGTGACGTAAAACACTCATCCTTCTCCTTTCCAAATTGTAACACCTAATCAGGCCCACTCTGTCAGACGGAAGATTGTGCAATCTTTGAAATGACACTGAAGTGTGGCTTTGAGACTCGCTCAGGGTAGGGTAGGGTGGGGTGGGGGGGACAGATATGGGGGGGGGCATGGGGACGAACATTTAAGGCCATGCTGGATGCGGAATGCCGGTGGTGGGGCGGGTGGAGGAGGAAGGCTGCCAAAGTGCTCGGCGACCCTCTCAGCCCCGTCGCCCAGCAGCACTTAGCGGCTGGAGTGGGACAGAGTGAAGCAGAAACCTCACTGAAAATGAGGCGCGATAAACGGAGAGTTCTGTCTGCCTGTGAGGAGCGGGGCGGACATGGAGACCGGCGGCCATGTGATGTCATAGGCATTCGTTATTATTATTACTATTATTAGGTGCCATTGAGCCCTCGTTGACACTTGGTAGCATTTTTCTAGAACATTCTGTTTTCATCATGGGTCTTCAGGCTCCTCGGTATTGTGTACTTTGTTGTAACGATCGAATCCGATCACTTTGCTTCTGATGCTCCTCTGTTACCTTCAAGCAGAGAAATGTAAATAAAATCCAGAGAAAACAATGGAAATATGACATATCGGCAGGGGTGTAGTTAGAAATTCTGGGCACCCAGACAAAATGTCACCTTGCCCCCCCCCCCCCCCCCCTCCCATTATATCATTTTATAAATATACATATTCCAGGGGCCCTGTAACGTGCTGGGCCCCCTGAATGTGCTGGGGTATCCATGCCCCTACTGCACCCCTGAGTATAGATGATTTTCTTAAAGGGTGTGAAACAATCTCGGAACTTTCGTGATAACACAGGATGAAAGTGACGGCACTTGATTAAGAATATAGTTAAACCATGTATATATGTTTATATCTAATACATATCCCACATAACGTGATGTCAGGTGTCTTTGAGAGATCAAGCCTATCTTCCCTAGAGACACAAACGATGTCATTTCCTGGACACAGTATGATTATCTTTCAAGCACATTAACAAGTTGTTCTGTGATGCTGTATCAATTCACACCATGGGCCCCCCAAAAAACAATAATTATGAAACCTTTCAGTGATTTTCCTGTATTTTGGTATACATTTCGTACCACCTGCTTGGTAAATTTTATCATGTGGGACCTGAGAGGAGGGGCACGTCTCATATTTCTCCCGGGGGCTGAGTCCCCCCTTAGGGTGAAATCCTAGCAGCACTCCTGATTCACTCTCTGCTTTTCTTTACCACCCAGACAATTACTACAAGCTGGAGGGAAGCAACGACGCTTTGATATGCGGGAATGCCAGCGACGCTGGGTAAGTGGGCCGCTTATAACCAAATGTCCCTCATCGTCAGGCTGTGGTTGTGAAGTTTGTGTCTGCACGGGGTTCTCCACTGGAATAAAAAGCTGAAATCTTTCCATCCATGGGTCCTGGATTCCTCCTTAGAGACCTGCGCCACGCACTGTTGCGTCCTGACCTCCAATTGTACCGGACGTTGTGTAATTGAGTCGTTTAATTAGTTTAATGAGTTCTAACGAGGGCAGCTGGGAACTGGCCGGCCCGTAGCCACCTTGTGCCAGAGGTGCGAAAATCCTGCAAATTATTGGGGTCGAAAGGCCACCGGGGGGCATAGAGAGGCGGAGTCGGTGTCAATGCACATGTCGGCCACAGGAAGTGCATGCGGGTGGGGGGGCACAGAGGCCTCGGTGACGATCCCATTGATTTTTCCTTCTGCGGTTTTCCCTCGAAACAGGCCGTCCGTGGAATTTCCCAGAAAGGGGTGGGGGGAAGGGGGCACTGTTTGCTTGCAAAGCAGCCGGGGTCTGGCCTTTGGCGATCTCCGGAGAGCGGTGAGGGAGGCGACATCAGCGCCATATCAATCATCCTGTTAATATGCGCTGGAGAAGCAGCGTGGGTGGCGTCCGATCGGCCCCAAATAGCCGTCAGATTTTCGTTTTGCTTTATTTGCTTTATGATTTTTTTAAAAGGTCAGTTTCTAATGAAAGAAATCAAGGTTGGTTTTATGATTCTGACCTGTAGCTACGTCACTTGGATTCCATGTACTGTGGTCTACAGCACATGCATTTAGACTAACATGCTTACAGTCGATGTTACTGGTCCTTTGGCATGACATGGGTGATGTGCGGTGGCTTAGAGGTTCGAGCACAGAAACGACACATAACAAACAAACGAGAGTCCAGCAGTGCAAAATAAATGCAAAGCACTAAAAAATTAGCAAATGCAAAAAAAAGCCAGAGAGAAAATATACTGTTTTTATTTTAAATGGACATTTAATAAGACAGAGAATTGGTTTCTCACTTGTTGTATATTTTAATTAAAATACGCCATTATGTTTTCATAATGCAACAGTATTTTATATCTTATTTTTAGTAAGCTATCCTGTATGGTATTACCTGTTTTTCTTTAGGGATAGGGTCATATACTGTAGTATTTTCACTATGGGGATTTTCTGAAGCTGAAGCGTTGTGTCAGATTTGGGCACCAGCCTCTCTCTCTGCTTGAATATTAGCGCTGGCATATGTAGCTGAGTGAAGAGCCCCTGTTTGCTGTTAAAGCCCACAATATAGGCCTATGTAGCATTGTGCTTTGCTTTGTAAACAGAAGGTCCAGCATGCCAGGCATATACAATATGATAGACAAGGACAATAAATACAGGGGCAAACGTGGAGAGAAAGAGAAACACAGCATACAGCATACAGAGTGTGAGACTGCAAATATACAGTCTTGTGCAAAAGTCTTAAGGCAGTCGAAGAAAATGTTTAATGCTGTTTGTCTGGGTAGTTAGTGTACAGTAAAAACACAATTTATCATTATAACATATTGAAAGTAAGAGTGACACGATAAAAAATAAACAAGAATTTCTTCTGTTCTCTAAAAAGTTACTGATATCTTGCTGGATGGCTAGATGAACACCTCTCCTCAGGGGCACCACAGACATTCATTCACTTAATTAATTAACTTAATTAGTTAAATGGCTCAATGAGGTATTGATTTACCAAAGAAGATGGAGTAATGGTGGAATCAAAAAATGGACTGGTGTATTGGATGGTAGCTGCAAATACTGGGGTGACTTCAGGAGAGGTTTTGGAGTCGCTATGCTGACACAGATGCAATAATAAAACTCCACACCAACATTCAAACATCATTTTCTTTGACTGCCTAAGACTTTTGACTTCTATACTGTGTGTACAATATTTGTGAAACAGTGCAAAATGGTAACAAAGTACTTAAAATCTGTTGGGTATACAAGTCTAAACTAAAATAAACTAAAATAGGACCATCTGCCAGACAGCAGTGATTTAAGCTCACCTCCATTCAGGATCTGGTAGCCTATAAGGTGGATTGTTCTGCATCCTGTTCTGCGTAACTCTCCCATGTCATAGTAATCTTGTAAAAGTCCTGCACTTTTGGATACAACACGAACGGACGTTACTGGGGTGAAAACTGAGGATTTGGTGGAACATAACACCCATTTGTGTGAATATTTGATGCCTGAGGACTGATACATGTAGGGTTTATGTTTATTTTTGATTTATATAAATAAATGAAAGTAGTTTTGGACCTCAGAGCTCACGTGGACTAGCTGGGGCAACATCCGGTGTGAAATGTGACACTGTGCAGGTTCTTTAAGTGTAATAAACAATCACAGACGTCAGGCTGCTTTTATTAAGGAGACACTTGAGACTGTATGCACTGTTTCAGTCATCAAATGTGCCAAATAGATAGAAATGACACGCTGTTAATATTCCATGACTATTTGTAGATTCTACATTGGCTTATTCAGTACTGGGTTGTAGGGGGAGTTTGGGGTCAATCCCAGAAAGCACAGGACACCAGTTTAGAAATGGCAGTTCACCCAGCTGCATGAAACTGGAGTAGTGGGACACTTATATAACACAAGGAGGTGGGATTTGAACCCACAACCATGGAGGTACATCACTGGTGCTGATCAGTCAAAGCCTGGATGGCTTTAAGCTTTCTAAGCTTTAATGAAAACAAAATCGAGGTTCTAGTCTTGTCTTTTGTTTTATGTTTATTTTATGTTGTTCTTTCCGTTTGTCTATCGGGTCATATTTCCTTGCTTGCCCAGCACTTTGGTCAGCTGTTATTGTTGTTTTTAAAGTGCTTTATAAATAAACGTGACTTGACTTGACTTGACCCACTGAGACACCACACCAATAGCACTTCTTAAACCGAAAACTGTCACTGCACCACTGGATGCAGCACAGTGGGACCGGACTGTGCCATGACCGGACTGTGCCATGACCGGACTGTGCCATGACCGGACTGTGCCATGACTGGACTGTGCCATGACCGGACTGTGCCATGACTGGACAACTCCAGGCAGAGGCGTCGCCTTTTGCTGATTGGCTGGATCATGCCAGCATTCTGATGAAATACCTCACCTATATAAATTAGTTCAGAGAAATGTTAAATAATATGTTTGTGGTATAAAATGTTCAACATCCCAAATTAACATGTTAAATTCGTGCTCTAAAGTTAAGTTTTCAACTGTATTCTAAATCATCCATCCGTCTCCAATAACTGCTTATTCAGTACAGTGTCACAATGAGTGTGAAAACAATCCCAGAATGCACAGGGCAGGGGACACTGCACAGCTTAGAAGCACCAACTCAATTAACCTCATGCATTTGGACTGTGGGAGGAGACACACTGAACATGGGGAGAATATGCAAAATCTCCAAACCATATAGAGACAGGACTCCAACCCTCAACCCGGAGGTGTGAGGCCACAGCGCCAACCACTGAGCTGCCTGTAACGCTTAATTAACTCTGACAAGGTCTCTAGTTTTGTGCATAGCACACCATACATGCATTCTTATAAATATGAGAATCTGGCAATTCATGCTTGACACCCACATGGTGCTGTACGACCTGGAATCTGTGGCCTTGGAGAGAGGTCTCACCTGACCTGCTCTGTGTGCCCTGACCCTCACCAGGAGAAGATGGATGGATGTACGATCGATGGCTGAATGGATCTTGGACTCTTCGGGCTGGTTGGGTGTTTCTGAGTGCTTTCCATGACCTTCAGGGAGACAAAAGGTGCTTTGCAGCTTGACGTAATTTTGAATCAACACCAGAGCATGACAACAGGCAGGATCAGGGTGCAGTATGGATATAGCCACTGTAAAAATGTTATAGAGGGAAAACAAACCTGTTATGTGCTGGAGTGAAGCAGGTTTTTGTAAGGAATATTGGATCTGTTGCCCAGGCCCCTCTCCAAATTTGAATTGTTGGCTGGGACACAGGATTAGCTAGAGGAGCCAGGGTTAAAGCTTGTGGGGGAGGGGGGGCACAGGCGGGTCAATCAGTGGGCCAGATGTCATAAGTTTAATGGAGAGAGGACCGATGGGCTAGGCTTGTGATTGGGTGGGCAAGCTCCTCCACAGAGTCAGGCCTAAAGTTAACAGTGCAACAGTAACACCAACTCTCCCTTTGAAGCGGCAGCCCACAGTGGCGGTCATCTCACTGAGTGCTGCACCATTGCTGAATTCAGGCCTGCACATGTGCAATGTAACACATGTCCACAGCGCGTGTTATCCAAAGGCCATGCCTGCTTATTTCACGGGGCGCTAACACAGCTAGCAGCATGCTGTCCGGCTCACCCTCACTGTAAAGTTGGGATTTATCAAATAGGAAGCGCTGTGGGCCTTTTAACTCTCTAAAGGTCTGCTGTGAAAGGTCCAGTGTGAGACATACAGGCGCCGAAATGTCAGAACATTTCTCTGTTTACCTACTTCCTGTATGCCGCTACAGGGGAAAGGAGAAAAACACTCAATACATCCCAAAAATGGTCAGCCAGGCAATTTTGGAAAAAAAAAATCAACCAATTTTATTTAGCAGAACTTTTTGTGTTGCTAGAATATTCTGTTTGGCCTATTTTTGTGGTTTGTTCTGGTTCGACAGGTAGACGAGCTGTACTTCAGTGAAGTAAAAATGCTTTTTTCTGGGTAGGATGAAGGAAGCCTGGCTGCCGGTTAGCAAACCGCCGGCACCTTGCTGCAAAATTACTGACTGCATACAGAAGATGATGCAGAACCTGACCATGGAAATAGGCTGGTACAACCTACAAATATGTGGCTTTCAATTTTGAATCCCCAAAAGCAAACAAGCAAATAAATGAATGAATGAATAAACAAACAAATATTAAGTGAACTGCCAAACCATTAGGGGTGTGACGGTACACAAAAAACAGTTCAGTGCAAATCTGGTTTGGGGCTCACGATTCGGTGCAATTTTGGTGCAGCAGGAAAAACAGAATTTAAAAAAAT